GCATGCATAATCCGTGACAAGTCTTGCGAAAGAGAAAAAGTTTAATTTTCATTATTGCTTTTAAATTTCTGTTTGTTAACGCAAGAATAACTCCTTTACATACAGACAAATTCCTTAACTATTCTTTTTGTGACACAAAACGTTTCTACAGTTCAAAATCTGAAAGATGGTTTTATATATTCATTAACGATGTATCCATAAAAAATTAACTTCGTGAAAACAAATAAAACTTAAATGCAGCACTTGATTGTTTATTGTTTACTTTATTTAATGAAACATGCTTTCGTAACATATCTGGCCGATGTAAAAGTATAATAAGTATTTTTAGCAAGTAAAATGTAACAGTGCCGTGAGAAAATAAAGATAATTATCTATTTGTGTTCGCCTTTGGAAAATAAGCATGATTTAAATTCTTTGCAGAATATTGCAAAAAATGAGAAACTTATTAAATCGTAAAATTAATGCAAACGCATCTTCTTGAATTATATTACACCAATTTACGCTTTAATAGATAATCTCATAAAAATATGTTTTCAGAGTTAATAAATTTTTCGTTTTGTTTTGAATGATTATATAGTTTTAGAAGAAATAAAATAGTAATTGTGTTGTGACAATGCTGTATAGATTTTCATGTGTTTGTTATCATTGTGGGAAACGTGTTTCTAATGACTTTTATTACATGAAATGCAAATTGAAAAAAAAAGTTATTTTGTGTAGTATAATTTGTAAACAAATTTTGAGAGAATTTAAAGGAACCGTTTGTCTATTTAGGGAATTTTCTATTCTAATTTCAGTTTTTTCCGTGTATCATTATCTTAATTCAGTTCGAAACAAAATGTATTCTTTAGTGATAAATATTTATTTGAGAAATAGAGATACAAAATTTAATTTTTTCTTATACTTTGTTTTCAATAAATTGCTAAATCTGGTAATTAAAAAAGATATAGATGTAATAAAAGGTTTCTGTTGATATATGCTTTAAAATATGTTTTTAAAATTTAAATGTTTTCTCAATTGGCATAAAAATGTGTATTTTAAGGATAAAAGTAATGTTTTAAAAATATTTATTTTTGGTTTCATAATTTCATATGTTATATTTTTCTAACTGTAAGAAGAAACTTTTAAATTAAAATAAAATATCCAAGATTTTATCACCCTTACTATACACTGAGGGGATCTATCTCACGGAATAGCACTTTATCAAGCTATACGGAATTATATACGAAATGCTATACTCCTCTAGCTATACGGAACTCAGCAATTCGACGTGTCATGGACTCAATAAGTAGTTAATGTCATGCCCTCAACAAGTAGTTAGTGTCATGGACTCAACAAGCAGTTAGTGTCATGAACTCAACAAGTAATTAGTGTCATGGACTCTTGCAAGAATATTCAGCTATGCAACATCATTGAATGCTCCTAATTACGAAAGTTTTGTGAGTGCAGGGTTTTGTCCCCGAAATGAGCCATCAATTGTATTCCATAAATGTGCGATCTAGTTGTCCAAATCATTCTCTGGAATGTTCTTCAAATCAGTCATGAGCAATTAAGACTTGTGACTGGTTTTGTTTGAGTTCAGTGCACGAAATAATAAACGAACCACCTTGAATAACTTTTGATCTAATGATTGGATCTTCACGTTCTATGACTTAATCTTAATGACTCGAGGGGGTGACCTCAAATGTTCTAATTACTAAGTGCAGATGACATTTTAAGTTATGAAATCAAGCACAAAAACGTATTTTCTCTGAATAAATATACCTTTTTTTCGATGGATTCAGATTTTTGAACCCCAAAATATAGGGAGTAGCCGCAATCTAGGGAATAAGGTCTCCATTGTTTAGTTAGGAGATCGGTCCGAAATTTGAACCTCTTAATGTTAATCTTACTTTTTGCGTACTTCGCCATATCGCGAGAACTTTTTAAGAGAGTTGAAAAGTTTTTGCACGCACTTATAAAATGCGTTTACTCAAGGATAATTCCATGGAAAAAATAAATTTTACTGCATATTTACTATTTTTCATTATTTTCTTAAGTAATTGTCAACAAAATTCTGAATTGTAAGGTATAAAATTTTTTACATCAATTTAAAGTTTGTAATTTTACATGGCGAAATACAAACTTTGAGCAAAACCGGTGGAATAGTTCCTGAGAAATAGAATTTTAAATACAAGACTTTTTTAGTTTAATTTTTAATGGTTAAGGTTACACCCTAGTAACATTAAGGTCCTAGAATGTGAAAATCCGATCATTATATTAAAAGTTATTCGTGGTGGTCCGTTTTTTTGTTTTGCGCACTGTACATAAGTTCTTAAATGACTGCAAGTGATCACCAAGACGGGGAAAAGCACATTCCCAGGCAATAATCGGTGCAATCGGACCATAGCTCCATGACACAAAAAAAGCGTCGTGTCTGCATTTTTTCTGCACGGTCTAAACCATGCGTCACGAAGTCTACATTTTTTATATGGCATATATGAAACGAATGACAATAGTAAACAATTATTTTGGCTACGAACCTCATACCGCCTCTAAAGGCATTACGAAAATAATTCATTTAAAATAGAAGTTGGAAATGAAAGGGAATCGGATGCTGTGTTGATAAACTATCACCATCAGTGATGATAAATGATTTTGAAACATGATTGATTAAAGAAAGAAGATAAGCTTTATTGTAGGATAAGCAAAAGTTTATTGAATGTAAATAACCGAAAGTATTACATTTCAAAAAGTGTTTTATTTTCTTTTTATTCCTTTAAGAGTAGTTTTTTGAAAAATAAAGCTTATTTTCTTCAGTTTCAAAGCAAACTCTTTTTCATGTCTTTTATGGTAATTTTTTTATTATTTAAACAGATAAATGTTGCAAGGCAAATATGCATGTCTAAAAATATAATTTTGCTTTCTTGTAAACTATTTATTGTTAAAACTTCAATAAAGATTTTTTATGCTAGAATTTATTATATTATTAAAACAAAAGTCATTTATTATAATAAAGAATTTCAAATATCATTTATTATAATAAGAGCAAGGGATAGAAGTATTATTAAAAAACGATTTTATATTTTTATAATAAAAAAATGAAAAATTATACTAATGAGAATTTAAAAAGTAATTAATTATTACCTTATGATGAAAGCTTATAATATATATATTTAGAGTACAGAGCAAGACAAAAAATAAACGGTTTGGTGGGCCCAAATTAATATTTAAGTGAGGAGAAAAAAAGCACAAAACTATTAAAATTTGACATCTTAGTGTTGAATAGGAATTTTATGTTCAGAGTGATCAAAACATATTGAACTGTCAACAAATCAAATCAAATGTTGTTATAAATGTGTGTTAATAAATGTTGTTACATATGTGTGTTAGTGATTAAAAATTAAAGAGACAATTCATTGCAGTTTTTATACATTTTTATGAGTGTAGAAGACAATAGTTTCTTTTTAGACAAATTTAATGTTTTTATTACAAATTTATTTTAGTTATTTATGCTGGTAACTGTGTTCTATATGATGCATAAATTGATTTATTTTGTAATGGTTTGATTCTATTGCAGTAACCTACTGTAGTTAGATCCAGAATTCAAGCAGAAAAAGATGAATCAATTTCAGCCAAACAGAAAGTTTTTTTTAGATTTAAAAAGGAAATTTTTGTTTTTGTTTTTGCTAGAAATAGTAAAGTTTTCCAACATTGTGAGTAACTTTTTCGTAATATTAGCTCATATTGTGTATTGATTTAAAATAAGCTAACTTCCTTACATAATCCTAACAGGTGAAAAGAAAAAATGTTTCACGTAAAATGTCAAAAACAAATTTTTCAGTAGAAACTTCAACTAACTTCAACCCATTTTAAGATTTATTAATAATATTTGATAAAAAAAATATATAAGTGTGTTACTGTGAATGACCGAAATTGGTGATTGTTGACTTCCTACGGTGAATGTTGATAACCACATAGTCGTTTTGGTAATTGTCCGAAATATATACTGGGTCCAGTTAAGTGCCACTGTCAGGTACGCCATACATCAAAGTTTTTTCAAGCTTCAGTGACCCTGGCCGGTATGCATTTGTCCGGTATGCCCTACTTCAATGTTTTTTTACGGTCAAGAGCCACTACCCAGTTTGCATTTAACCGGTACTCTGAACACTGATGTTTCTCCTAATCTATCCTCAGCAGATATTAAAATATGGTCAGATGCTGAGTTGGACGAAATTAGCTTCTAGTAAATCATTTTGAATTTATCTCTGGTATTTAACCAATCAAAGTACTTGTTACTGTGAATGACAGAAATGGGTGGTTGTTGACTTCCTGCGATTAATGTTGATAATCACATTGTCGCTTTAGTAAATGTTCGAAATATATATTTGGTCCAGTTACGTGCAGCTGCGTGATATATATTTGACCGGTATGCCTTACATCAATGTTTTTTTAAGGTCAAGTGCCACTGCCCAGTATATATTTCCGAACACTGATGTTTCTTATAATCTATCCTTAGCAGATATTAAAATATCAAATAAATATAAAATTATCAACGAATAAATTAATATCAAATCGGATATAACAAATATTTCAGAGATTCACGGTAACAAATATACTATTTCTTGCAAAAGTAATTGAAATTGCTTATAATCATTAAATTTTTTAAGGTTTACTAAATATTGTGATATAAATTACTGCAATGCAATTTAAGAATTTTAAGCTTATTGCTGCTAATTTTTTCATATGCATCGAATAATTAAAATCTCGCAATACGCCATAAACTTGCACTCTTTTTGTTGACATTCCTTTAAGTTATACCAAGTAAAGTCATTATATAATATATAACTTTTCACAATATAATAAATAACTATAAAATATGTCTCACAATACAATATATGTCTCACAATATAATATGTAACTTTTAAAGTGATTCCGGAAATGCATCACACATAATTAAGTGTATTTTTTTTATTGTGTTAAAAGGAATTACAAGAAAACAGCCATTAAAATTAGATACTTACTCAAGTCTTAAATGTTCCAAACTAGAGGGGTTCTTTAGCACCAGTTTTGGGAAAGTTCTCAATTTATTATGAGAAATTCGCAGATAAGTTAAACTCGTGAGCACTCTGAAGCTGTCTGGTCTGATATCACTTACATTACCAGCAGCTATTGTCACGGATTTTATCGATTTAGAAATCGAATGGCAAAAACTGGAGTCGATGGTGCTGTTGAGCGTCACATTATACATGGACAATGTTTGCAAATTCCTTAAATGCTCAAAATCTTCCCAAACCGGTTTTGTTTGGAATGACACATTTTCCAAAGATAAATGGTGAAGTCCAAGATCGGTTGAAGAATTCTGAAATGATTCAAACGTACTGTTTGAAATAATCAGCGTGTTCAAGCTCACATTTCGAAACACATTTAGAGGTATATGAGTCCAATTTAAATTACTTATTTGCATTAATACAACATTCTCTTGCAAATTTGAAAGAACAGAATTTAGCGCATCGAAGCTTTTCAGATATGAACAATGTAAATCAAAGTCATTTGTACTTGAAATGCAGGAATTGTTATTTGCAGAAGTGGTTGCAGGTGCAGTGTAACATTTTGACACGGATAAAAGAAACGCTGCAATACTCAGCATGCAGGAGGAGTGGCTTTTAATCGAATACATTTTTCGATATTAGTTGGTAATAAATAAAAAGGATTCATCTGGGGTAACTTAGCTTTATATATTTTCAAGTCATTTGCAGACCGGTTGCTGAAGCAGCATCTTCGAGCTCGATAAAAGTCCCGGGATTCGAGCACGATAAAATTCGATTTTCTCAAGAGATCCATTATGAATGCTTTCATCAGCATTACGCTCAGTTCTTGGAAACAGACATAAACAATGTGGTTTAAAGTCTTATTGTTTATCGCTATTCAAACATCATGAGAATAAAAGTAATCCGATTCAGTAACGAGAAACCTTAGTTTAGTTTATCAGATTTAAAATAGTTAATAAGTTTCAGCACAAGGTTATGTTTCAGGGACCTTGTACAAAATGAAAGATTTTTTAATGAGTTAAATGTTGAAAATTTAATCTTAAAATGCAAATTATTTTAATCAATTAAAAATTAAACTTTAATAGATATTGAAATGAGGGAAACTCTTTTATGGATTAAAATTATGCTAAATAAAATGCAGTTGGGCATGTAAATTTCCTTAAATTCATTCACAAGCAAGCCCAATGTGTCATGCGTAAGAACTTAAGCAAATTATTCGATGTTTTGTTTGAAAACACTTTATTTATTATATTTGAGTCACATGGTGTTCTGTAATACCAGCTTGTAATATATATATATTTAAAACTCTTGCTATGATCAAGTAAAACAAAATTATGCAAATCAGAGATCACAAATGAACAATTTATGAAAAAATGAACAAAGCAGTTATTAAAATCTTTTAATTACTACTGAGAAAAATGGGTGAAAAAAACCCATCAAAAACAGCTTCATTGTCAAATGAAGCATAGTTGTTCTAATTAACACCTTTCAATTCCTCAATGATTTCTCTAATATTCGAAGCGTTTGAACTGGTTTTCATGTTATCAGCTTCCTCTTCCTCAATAGTGATTCATTAGGTTTTGATAACTTTATTATCTTTTTTTTCCTGGTTTAAATATTATTCCTGGATTCTAATGTGTATCGATTTTTATTTTATTTTTGACAAAGATTTTTGTAGTTATTTTTATGACAAGAGTGATAATGGAAATAAAATGAGGTGATAAAAGTTATGAGATGCTTCTTAATATCTTGTACACCTCCTATAGCTTTGCGAAGTGCACCAACTCTGCTTGACATGAAGCATGAGTGCACGGCCGTTATCTAGAACCATCATGAAATCTAAATGATTGTTATAACTATACCTTTACCTGCAATAATTACACAGTCGTTAACTACTTAGAATTTTCTCGGAATTGCAAATTATAGTTATATTTATAACAACAAGTAATAATACCAAGCCTTATAATTATAATACAAATCACATAATCATACAACCAAATTATGGTTACAAAGAATTATTGTGGAAAGTAGCTGCAACCACAATAAAATAATAAAGTGATGGATATTTTAGTAAAAACTGAACGGTAGTATCATATAATCGAGTTTAAAAATGATTATTTTTCCAATGTAAAATGGTGAAATTTTGCATTGTATTAGAACTGCAAGGTAATAGAAAACCAGAGTTAATTTTACAGTTCAAAGAGTATAAAAATTTGAAAATAAAAAAAATTTCTTTATGAAATATATAGAAATTGAATATTGTCAGAAACTAAGTTCAAACCATTTTTTATTACATTTTTATAAGTTTAAACACTTGGGAGTATGTATGTTTTCTATGTTATTCGAAATTGATTTAATCGTTCATCATTGTCAACTGACAATATATATATATATATATATATATATATATGTGTGTGTGTGTGTGTGTGTGAATCTTTTTAATGACTTAAATCATTATTCCAAAATTTTTTTTATGTGTAATGCTAAAATTTAAAAAAAAAAAAAAGCAGGAGCTAAGTTGCCAATTTAAAACAAGGGTATTCGTGACTGTGCTAAGTTAGACAGATGGTATGGGTATTTTATACAAATTCCAGTATACCTCTCATCGAAATTGATTTAAAATTGGAGTCACATATATGTGTAGTGTACTGAGTTGCAGATAACATTCTATTTCGTAAAATAATGAAAAGCGTGTGGTAACAAAGAAAGTGACTACCACAAATGTGGTAAGAAGAAAAAAAAGTATTGTCACCCGCATTCCAAGTAGATATTACATTTTAAAGTGACAACCCAAACCTTTCTTCTCAGCGTTGCTTTATTTGCATAGATATGACTCTTTGCAATAAATATTTGTCTTCGAAAGGGGAGTGAAATCTTTCGAGAGTTCGAATTCTAGAAAAAAAAGAAGGTCGTGGTTCTGAAATGGGTGGTATAAATTTTTGTTATAAATCGTGTGGAGGAAATTCTAGAAATCGAAAAAAGGACGAGAAAAACTTAACAGAAATCTTAATCTGGATCGCATTTCTCAAGTGTTGAAAAAGAAATAAATTTCTTCCACTCCATCGGCCCGGAAGCTAAAAATCACAGTTTCAACATTCCTCCCACAATTTCTGCCAATACCGCCATTAATCTTTCTCAAGCTGACAAGAGACTTCTAAGGTTCTTTTCTTTTGAAACGATATAGGTATTTAGTTCTTTTTTTTATTCCTGTTTCCCGCTCTATTCTTTTTTTATTTACCTTCAGTAGATGGCGCTGTAACACATTGGTTCAGCAAAGGTCGAATACTTCACCTTAGTTTTCAGACTTACATGTCAAAAAATTTCTGAACTTGGATTTTTTAGTGCTATAAGCTGACGGAAAAGTTTATTTTGATCTTCATGTCGTATCATTGATCTTTGGAGTTGCGAACAGAAAAAACTGTGTTGCTAAAGTTTTATCTATAAAATAAAATTGAAAAAGAAAAATATCACAGAAATAAGTTTATTTCGCACTTTATATTTCAAGCATTTCGCAAATCCTACGAAGGAGCAGCAGATTCATTTATTCAGTTATACCTGCTTTAAGGAACCGAACTTATTAAAACACAACCTTCAAATTTACAAAATTTATAAATTTAAAGGCAACGGAGTAAAATAGTTAAAAGCCAGACTCGTTCCAAAATTTAATTTTTACGCCAAAATTTTTTAATTTTTCCATCTAATCTCTGTCTAGCAATCTAATTTTTCACTCTCTACCTCAATATTTATATCATAACCTACAAAATACTCTTATTTAACTTTAGAATACTCTAAAAAAGAAAATAACAGGAACACATAAAAGAGAAATGTATATAGAGCGTGCATATAATTTTATGTCCATAGAATGAAACCACGTGACTGGAGGGCGAAACAAAAGATATATTTTCTACCATCCGTTTGACCTTGTTATTTCAATGGAGAAAAGAAATTAGTGCTTGAAAGTCAAAAATCTGAAAATATGTTGAGCTTACTCATGATACTTACTCTTGAGCTTACTCTTGAGCTTACTTACTCATCTGAAAATATGCTGAGCTTAAAAATTTCATAAAGGATGATATTATACATTTGAGAAATAAGCTAGGTTATACCTTTTTGAAATTACATTTGTTTTATTTACTGTATAAATGGATATTTAGTGGGTGCATATTTTCTTTTAAACATAATATGATTCCTGATTATTCCAAATTATGTATTCTAATATCCAAATTTATGTTTTTAAAATTATCTACTCAGTAACACAAGTAAGCACAAAGTAATGATTATTTACTGTATAAATGGATATTTAGTGGGTGCATATTTTCTTTTAAACATCATATGACTCCCAATTTTTCTATTTTATGTCAGAAGTAGGCAAAGTTTTGAATACATGCATTTTTTTAAAATTTTTTAAAATTTTTTTTTTTTTTATTTTTTTTTTTTGCTTCCTTGCTTTGCGTTGATTTTTTTTTTGCTCCATATAATGCTTTTAAAATAATAATAGCAGAATAAATTCTTCAATATTTTGCTTTAATTTCCGAAGCTTGCTTTAAACTAATTTTAAAAAAATAAATTTATTAACAGAGAAGATGGGTTATGCAAAAGTATTAGAAAATTATTTGATAAAAAGGGCAAAATTTCTTAATATTTAATTATAAGCTTTTTGATGAGATCGTCAGATCTGTATTACTCTATGCTAGAGCCATTTAATAATGTACATTTCGTTCTGGTAGCGTTTAGACATCTCTACCGGAAGACATCAAAATCAAAGGAATAACTTATAGCTTACATTGAGAAACAATTGCGAAATTAATTTGAAGGTTCAAATCGAAACTAAATTAAGAACGAAAACAGGAGTACTAAAATGAGAAACTTTAAATGAAAGTATTAAAAACTAGTTTTATAAATATTGTAATTTCAAATTCTTCTTACGTACACGCAACACGTTAAATCTTTAAGGAAAGGATGGTCTTTTTCCCTTTTCTTTTTTTCTTCCTTCAAAAACATAAAGTTTAATAAAAGTTTTGTTTTCTCAGTGAAGAAAGACCATTATTTCTAACATTAAAAGAGTCTGTGAATGATACAGAAACCTTCATTGGAATCTAAAATTAAAGTTCATCAGGATAAATGTGTTTACTAACACAGGGTAGGGAAAATATTTAATTTAGTATTACCTTTAGTATTGTTTAGTATATGATTAGATTATATTCATTAAGATACCACTTTTTACTTTACTGTAGTGTAAAAAAAGGACATTCCGCTTTGTTTAGTTAAATATATGATTGTCGAATTGTATAAGATAAAATTTTAATATTATTTTAATATTTTGTGATTTTATAAATTATTGAAGATTTCTGAAGAGTTAGACAATTATCAGCACTTGAAAATAATTATGTCTGCGACCATAAACAGCTGTTTAACTTATTTGCCACTAAAGGTAGGTTTGACATAACTTTTTCTGGTTGGTAATAGAGAAACAAAAATAGATAATTAATGTATAATAAATATATCAATGCTTTTCTCGCAAAAGATGTACAGAAAATGGAATTTAAAAAAAAGTAATAATAAATAACTAAAAAAATAGACAACCTTTCATTTCCATTTTTTTTTCTTCAGAAATAGACCACATACAGAAAACTTTTATTTTGAGACGAATTTTGTTAAAGAGTCTTTTTACAAAACAAATACTAGTATGTGGAAAATATCGTATATTTAAATCTTTCGATCAAAATCTGCCAAATCACTTGTGGAAGAAATTGGGATAAAAATAGATAAACTAGTTTACTTACTTCATGAAACTTGAAGTGATTC